GGGAAGGGATCGCCACTGTGTCTTCGCGTAACGCAAATTATATACATCGTCTGGCAACGTTCGCGTCGTTCACAAAGGGGCCACGGCGACGAGGATCCACTGTTCTTATCAAGACGCACGTAAACACACGGAGGGAGGAGGCATTCTTAAAAGAGCGCCAAGGTTCTTTTAAACTTCCTCCCTAGTCGCGGAGGCTAAAAGCGGAGGCACTTTTCCTTCCGCATGCTACGAGTATGTATACCCGAGGAGCCATGTAGAACCTCTCTCTGTACAGCAAAGACCCATATAGCGAAGAAACGTATAGAACGAAGAGATGTATAAAGCGAAAAAGTGTATACAGCGAAGAAACGTATAAAGTAAATAAACGCACGAGCGAACAGAAGTTATAATAGGCTCGTAATATTGGTTCGAAGACATGCGTAAGTGACCAGTTTTTTTTTGTTTTTAAGAAATGAGTTTAATGAGGTTTTACCCTAGTGGGACACTCGCAATCCATAAGGAAAGTAAGATAAGGTGGATAATGGGGTCAGTTATTATCGTAACTAACAACCATAAGTATGTCTCCTCGCCTCCTGCTTTTGCCCAATCTAGCGACAAAAAACAAAATATACACAGGCGTGGTTTTTGCACACAGACATACACAGACCGGCTTTTCGTATCGGATTACTAGACCACCGACTCGGCGGTTGGAGGAAGCAAAAAAAATTGGCGCGTTTTCGGACGAGTCAACTGAGTAGGCCAGATTGCGTTATTTTCGGTAAAAGCGTAAGAACTACTCATCCCCCCCCCCCCCCCCTCCCCTAAATAATATATGAACTTTTTTTGTAGGTTAGTTCAATAATTAACTAATTTAATCCCCACCCTTTTCCACGATAGACAAACTCTAAACAAAAACAAAAATACAATCGTGCACATTTTACACGTTACCACTGTGGATTCGTTTAGTTGTGTATCCCCTCCTTGCTGAGTCCCTTCCCTTGACGCACACTAATTTCAACGCACACCCCATGTATTACTTTCCAAATAACTTTAACTGCGGCCAGTAAATAATAAACAAGCGCAACAAAATAAGAGAAAAAATTAACCGCGACCACTGTGCGTCACAAATGTTCGTTACCAGTGTCCGTTGTCTGCTTGCCGAGGGTCGGAGCTCCAGTAACCAACACACGACAAACAAAAACTATGTCGTGCGCACAGAAGCGTTGCATCTCGTCACGACAGAAATCGATATCAGACTCGGCCGAATCAGATTGAAGGCGTAGTACACAAAACAGCGAATAAAATAAGTTTTTTTTTTTTTTATTCCGACATTGGGGGGGGGGGGGGGGGGGGGGGGGGAAGGGGAATTAGGTTTCACTGGACATCCTAACTTGCTCTGATGTACAACCGAACGCAGAAAAAAAAATCGGGATACAGGATTTCGGGAAAAAGGACCGTCCTGAGATACACGCTTGTAAGATTGATTAAACCACGGATAATCGCGAGGGTCAACGCGTACCAATAACAAACAAAAATATGCTTTAACTCCAAAAATTCCATTCAACAAATCTTACTAAACCATTTCGGATCCTGCTTACATTATTTGTAAAAACAAAAATGAACTACATTTCTTTTTCTTTTTTGCCGGTATTGCAGGCAACGCCCAGCATTCAAAGAAAAACGACGACAAATCATCGCAAAAACAAAACAATACAATCGGGAGAAAGAAACTGAAGTCCATAGGACGTCCAAATCGTGACAGTCCGCACCGCACGCAAAATGCAATATCACCGATCTCGCACAAAGAGAAGCAAGAGCGACGGCCGACGAATTCGCAAGTATCGTCCTGCAAATATCGACTGAAGGGCGCATTCGAATCGACTCGCATTCTATTTTTCTTTCGTAACTCTACATACAATGTTTAAAGGGACCATGAAATGACTTTTTTACTTTTTCCAGATAACTTTTACAATAAACCGTCAATGTTCACTGAATGCCGAACAGGCATCCGTTTTCGTCTCGGTTTATTAACTTCTACACAAAAAATTAATGAAATATCGACTTTATCTTGACCGCAAAACAAGCCGTGACGTACGATGTTTCCGGAACCGGAAGTTCTCTCGGCAGTAAGTGGGGTGCGCCGGTGGGTTTAACTATGGTGCCTGGAACGCGTCTCCGACTGGTGTGTTTACCGCGGCCAAAAAAGTGGTCCCTCGATTTCCGCCTAATGACGTCATAGAAGTGTCATGCTGTCGCCGGTCGCGACCCTGGCGGCGTCCCAACAGCTGTGGTGTATGTAGCAGATGCCTGTTCTGCTGCAGGTCGCTTTTTACTGTGACAGTTCACGGAAGCTCGAGCAGCCGGAGTTGGGACGCCTGGGATGCCTAAAGGGACGCCGCGACGACAGCGACACTCGCGTTCGCTCGAGCTTTTCGCCAGCATTTCTACGGTCAACCGCCAGGATCGCGACAGGCAACAGCATGACACTGGCGTCATTTGTTGCCACATCGGGACCACTTTTGATGTATGGGCGAGATAGGACGCTAAACACACCAGTCGAAGACGCGATCCAGGCACCATAGTTTTACTGCGCCGATGTCACCGACGTATTTTCTGAATCAGCGCCTCTCATCGCCGTATCGCAGCTGAGCGAAATTCAATGAGATACGTAGCGCTACAGCGACAGCATGGGACTAGTCCCATACGCCGGTATGCCTGTTGGGAAGTGCAGATGGAAACAAATTGCCGCGGCGTTTTTCGCGGTCTCGGAGATGCAGGAGCGAGCCGACGTTAAAAAAGATACGTTTGAACTACGAGTGTCAGCAAGAGCCACGTAAATACCTGTTCACACTCGGAGCGGACGCGCGCGTTTGATGAAGTGCTGTATTCGCGCTGTTGGTAAGCGCTTCGGGACCGATCTTTTACGATTGCAACTCGATACTGACGCGACACTCGGCAAAGAAAGGTTGGACGTTACAGCTCGACAGTGACGTGCAGTCTGTCAGAATAAAAATGGCATACCAATAACAAAGTGTACATACCGTGCTACGAAGGTAATCCATACAGCGTTTATTTCAGCTCTATATCACACAAAACAAAGAGAGGATCGACGAGGGTCCCTTTTCGACGAGTGTTCGTCAACACTGCCTCGGAAAACAAGGGGAAGAGATTGACCTTACCTCTTAACCTAAAATTGAGGTCAGCGATCAAACTATAATACGGCAGGGTCCACAAGGGTAGCGCGGGCATATTCCATTCAGTACGCCAGCCGGTCGTAGGCAGACAGACGGTCTTGCGACGAAGCAACGCTGCGCCGAGTCGGAGTGCCTGCTAGGCCTATATTCTGAGAGCTTCGTCGGAGCGGGATTCGCGGCTATTGTCGCTCTTCTCGGGTGTTTGTGGATCCAGCGTTCTTGTTCGTCGTGGTTTGTTTTAAGTACATTTTTTTCTTGCTGCTTGAAGTCGGCACGCGCGAGATGAACACGTAGAAAAATAAACGTTCAGTCAGTCAGAGTTTTGAGAGGAAGGAAACCAAAGGAAATAACCGTTCTGAACTCGGCCCTGCCCTACTGCGCACGCGCAGTAGTTGCTTCGTTTACCACACGATAGATGGCGCTTGGCTCTCAGCATTATCAAATTTGGCAATTTTCGCCACACATCTCTAATTATGCTACAAAATGTGGATCTGAATATTATTTAACAAAACTTTTGGGAAACATTCGCCGGCTATTTATTGTTTACGATCGCGGTGCTGGTGAGGTAGGCTCTTACCCAATAGGCGACGTGGATTCGGCTGACGTGCTCCATTTCTGCGGATGCATCGTAGTGAAAAGGCAGAGCTTTCGAAGGAAAGAAGTCGCAAAAGAGTCCAGTTTTCTTTTAAAAGTTCTAGAGCAAATAATTTTTTTGGCTCCCTAGTTTTGTGTTTTTGTGTTTCTTTTCACGCCTTTTACGACGTGCGGTGGATGAAATTCGATTTTAAAATCATTTCATGGTCCCTTTAACCTCAAAATCACGTTCACGTATGGGTATTACCAACTACTCAATATTGCCGTGATCTGATCACTTTTGAAGCGGGCAGTAAACGCCAGCTCAGCCCGCTCAAATAGCGGAAAAATAATTACCGAGGATCACAGCGATATCGTTCAGCTCAGACTCTTTTCTTAAATAAATAATCAGTCGAGCAAAAAAAAAAAAAAAAAATTTAAGACGTGACAGTTTAAAAAGGAGTACAATTTAACAACTTTTCTATGAACTTCGTAATTCTAATTCATTATTCTTAACTAAACATAACTGTAATTGAAATTTGATTACTTTTAGCATGCGTAACTGCGAAACGGAAATTACAATTAAAGCGACTTTTTTTTTTTTTCTTCATTATTTTGTCATTTGACAAAAGTAAGTACACCGAGCGCCTGCATTATGGCCCTTTGCCAGCCCGTGGAACTTTGAAAGTGCTGGCGGTAAAGCGTTGCAAGTAGCAGTCACCACGCAACGATTTCGACTTTCATATCGCACGCATCGCACATCGAAGTAGTCGACACCTCAGGGCACACGATGTGACGACCGTAAAACTCTATGATAAATCCAGTTACAGATTTATCTCAAGGAAAAAAAAAAAAGAACCTTGCAATTGGGTAGTTCTTAAAGGAAACCAATTGCAAAGTCATTGCATTACTCTGGGAAATTAATGTACAGACTGAAAAGGACTTTTTTCTTTTTTCCTTCGCGTTTTCAATATTTCGCCAGTTTCACGAAATCTGGCCCTCGGGAGTATTTCGCGACTTGGAGCGATATATGCTGCGTGTAATCTACCATCGGCGATATATTCGCGTAATAAATTTTTTTTCGCGACATCTGTAAAGCGGCGAAATTCGCAAAAAAAACTTAGTCGTTTACAGTAGTTGTAATGAACTACTTCCGAAACGAAATAGAGGGGAAAATAAATCAATTACATCTTCCAATTAATGTTCCCAAGTACGGCAAGGAGGAGCCAACGGCGAACCAACAAGAAGTCTCACCGGGCTCTTGGCGATCCTCGTCGCCGCAGCTGTCGTCCTGAAAACGGACCTCCTTGTGTCCGTTGATCCGCATGGTCACGACGCCGACACCAACAACAGCAGCACGGACCGACAGCGCACAAACACGAGCAGCGAACACGCCCGCGGAGAACGGCGACGGCGGTCAGAGGCACCAACAACAACACGACACATGCGAAACGCGCGCACGACAAGCTCTCCGAGGAACTTCTTGGCGGCAGGGGCACGGCGGCAGGCGGCGAGCGCACCGCCGATCTCACACGCGACGAGCTCGGTGCAGAAAAACACGCGCCGGAGCACCACGGCCGGACTTCGAGAACGCGGATCTCGAAATGCGGAAAAAAAGAAAGCGGCGCTGATGCGGTGGCGGCGGGGATGGAGAGGGGCAGCTCTCGTCCTCATCCCTTGCGCGCTCTCTCGCCGGTACCGCTACGTGCTGCCGCAACAAGGCCGCACTCACGTGTCTCGCTACGTCATCGACAAGGGGCCACCGGCGCGGGGCACGGGTTCGGGCATGAGCGCTTACGTCGGCGTTAGGGACCCGTGTTGAACCCGGCGTGAACACGAGTGTCGGCCAAACGCTGACGCATGAGCACACGTGCTACTGGCGGCTTTAGTGACTGCAGCGACTCTGGTGGTGACTTTGGCCAACGTTCCGAGGCAGGGAGCACACGCACGTGCTAAACAGAAAAAGAAAAGGAAAAAAAAAAAAAGAGGAAAAAAAAACGGATGCGTGCGATGTCATAGTGTCACGTGCCGATCCATCCCGACGTCACGTCATTGTGTCGAGTGACGTCACACCATAACGTTAGCGGAGAAGGTTCTCCGCTAAATTCGGCGGAAAATTCGACGTCACGATATGGTGGTCATTCGTATACTTGATCTCGCCGGAAAAAACAAATTTGATGCTCCGCAACTCCACCGAATGTCCCCGCTCACCCATTACCATCTAGAAGACAAGGCCGGAGAATGAAGTCATCGTCGGTGGATTCCCGACGCGTCCGTCTTGGCGTCATTATTAACTTGGTGTCGCCGCGTGGGTCAACTTGCGATGACGTTTGAGGGAGAAAGGCGCAAGCCTTGTCTTCTATAGGCGGTAATGGCACACGGGTAAAATTGGCCACCGCTCATTTGACGTCAGGGCGAGCCACCTGTATAGGCGTCGGATCGGAGTTGTAGCCGCAGTAGAATCGCAGACGATACAGTGTAGCAGACGACCGCGAACAACGGAATGTTTCTCTCTACTTTTTGCTTCCTCCTGCTTTCTTTCCGAAATGACCTCGGATGGAATGCCGGCATCGATTCGGTCGCGCGTGATCCGGTTTGCCAACGAACCCTGCGCGGTCCGAGACGCGAAAAATAAAGCAACGACACAACGAAAGGGGTGCACTGAAAGGTTTTCCGACGAAATAGTGTGTAAACTTTCTGTGGCAATGAAGCCAAATCGCCCATAGCACGTGCTCCCTTCATTCCTTGTCAAGAGCCCACAGGCCTTCCACGATTCGCCAAGGGTTTGCTACGACGTCTACGCCGGATCGTCAAGTTCGATATACCCGTGGACAACTTTCTGCGGCATTATCGACGTGAGGAAGAGCTTAACCGACGCTCATGCACGCGCTCCCATACAATAGGCTGCCTAGCCGTGTTGATCACGTGACGACTCATTCTTCAACCGTGCTATGGTGGCCTATGGGCGATTTTCATCCGGTGTTTTTGGAACCTACATTCACGCTGCTTCGTCTTTTCACCGCCAGACGCTGAGAAGATCTGATTCGCTCGAAAAAGGCTGGAGAGCGAACCTGCCGCCACGTGCCTCCTGTTCTCGCCACCCAAACCTCACGTTAAAGATTAGCTGAAGAATGAAACAAAATTGTCCTATCCACATCTTTCCTCGACACAGCGAAGATATCGAAAGGCGCGCGCGCGCGCGACACACCCTGTCGGTAAAAAACAAAAACAAAACAACGTCGTTTGCCTCGGGGCACGAGAAGGAAGACGCGAATGATCGAAGGGCATGGGGCGTCTATTAATCGCAGACCCCGAAATCGGCCGCGCTTTATTAGGAAGGCGTTCCGTAATTGCACATATCCCAATCGCAAATCCATTAGGCCGCACTTTGAGACGAAGGGTGCCGCAGCCAATCAGCGACTTCCTCCAGTGCCTTTCCACGTCCGCGTATATCGCTCAAAACGGAAACGCAGTTCTTTTTTTTTTTTTTTCTATCTTTTAGTTGCAGTCGAGTTTATCGCTTACATTATATAGAAGAACGGAAGCTGGAAGCAATCTTGTACTCGTTACTCGAAAAAAAAAAGTAATCGCGTACAATTAAAATTACTCTCGGCTAAAAAAAGTATTTAATTAGGTTACTCGATTACTCAAGAAGCAAAGTAATTGGCCGTTACTCGAAAAAAGTAACCGTTGCTTTTCCGATTACATGAGGTTTTCAAGGCGGCCGCTTTTTCTGACGGTTTCAAAAGATTTTTTTTTTTTTTCCCGTACTGTCCATTATTCGATTACTAAAATCAGCAAATTATTAGCCAATCATCTTCTTAGTCCACCGATTTCGGTAAACCACTGTCCCGTCGAAGCAAGTTGAGAAGAAAATAGTAAACGGCTAACGACCGATTTTAGTACTTCCAAAAGTAATCAGACTATATACTCTCGCGATTGCTTCCCAATAAATATATCCAAATTACTAAAAAAAAATTACCCCCCCTCAAAAAAAAAAAAAAAAAAGCTTAATTGATTACAAGTAATTTGCGTAACGAGTGCCGTACGAGTCTGAAACTTGGAAGCAACCAGAAATAAGTGACCACAGTCACGTGACGAGGTCACTGCGCCAGATTGGCCAGGATGGCTTTTGCGTAGCGCGTTCACTATGGTTCCTACGTAAGGACGAACCCAACTTATATATACATATACAGTGTGACGCATTGCGACGGAGAAGCTATCGGCTGCATGCATGGATATGTATGGCTGTCGTTCTCAGGGAGGAGGGGACATTGCGCTGGCGTCAGTGCGCGAAGCCAAAACTAAATAAGCAAATAAATTATACATACCTATCGAGGAACGCTTAAGCTTCGCCTTTAAGAGTGCAATGCGAAAGCGTTATCAGGCCCTGTTTGCAAAAACTTCTCATATAAATTAGTAGGGTACGTTGTTGGGCTAGTTGGTTCATCTGAGTAGAACATATAAAATAGCGCAAAAAAAAGACAAGGACGAGAGACAAGGTCAAGTATACAGGACAGGTATAGCGCCGGTCCTGTATACTTCTTGTCCTTGTCTTTTTTGCGCTATTTTATATGTTCTCATTTAAACCCGCGCTCGTTCCGAAACCGCGCAAGCCTGTGTGCGTGGTCTAGTCGGTAGCGTCTCCTGTCACGTTACGTCACGCGTGACGTCATCACCCTATCGACCCGCTAAATTTAGCGGAACATTTTCCGCTAAGCTAAATGTGGCGGGAAAATTTTCCCGCCAGATTTAGTGGATCGTTAGGGTCATGACGTCACAGCCACGTGTGACGTCGTTGGGCCGCGCAGCCACGTGTGACGTCACACGTGTCTCCGCGCGTTGCATTATGGGATTTCTAGGTCCCACCGACGCCGGGTTTCCTGCGACCTAAACTCCAAAACGCTATCGCGTTAACAAAAAATGGAACTATTGCGTGTCGTTTTCCTAATGTCGGTCGGTTACTGCACGCGCGTTAGTATGTGCAGGGGGCGGAGCGAGTCACGCGTGCATCTCATCATCGCTCCACGGCCAATGGGAACGCGGCATTAGCCGATCATAACGTCGAAGAACCAATCACGAAGCGAGAAGCGTTAATATGGACCACGCCTTACCTTTCTCGAGCTGTCCTTGACCATAAACGATCAAATGGCTTAAAATAATAGAACAAGGAAGCTCACGGTTACGCACACACACGTCGAAATCAAGTACCCACCACCAACTCCGGTGAAGAGCATAAAACAAAAACAACGAAAGTCACTTTCACAAGTATACTTTTTGACCATGCAGGTGAGCAGCTTAGCCATTTTTCACGCAAACATTTCTCACCGCAATTCTTTTTTTCTTTTTTAGACGTATCGCGAAACAGCTTAAACAAATGGAAGAATTAAGTTACGAGAACCCCAACAGGTCTCTCGCGTGAAGATGGATTCGGTCGCTCAAAACCCGCCAATATTACAGCCAAACCCACGTGAGAATCGCCGCACCTAGCAGAAATGACGCCAAACTCGAACAAAAATAAACAACAACAAAAGTCTACTTCCTAACCCAGTTTTTGATTAGAGAAAGCGACGCTTTTCTTCCCATTTGCTACCCAAAACGTTTCCCTTCCGGCATAACTTCAAAATAAATTTGCTTTATTTTCACACTTTTGTTTTACGCTGCGGTGCATCTATTAATCTTTCGGAGTCGTCGTCTCGCCATCTCTTTACCTCGTCAAAAAAGAGCGTAGCCGTTTAACGCCTTAACGAAAGAAAGCCTAAAAAAAAAGACAAAAGAAAATTCCAGCGACAGATGAAAAAAAAAAAAAAATAAAGTCATTTCACGCTAAGAAACAACTCCATCCCGAATTCCAGCGGCTCGACGAACCAGGAAGAATAAAGAGGAAAAAAGATACGAATTTTTTATATATATAGAGAGAAAGACGCAAAGCAAGGGATTGCGACGCTCACTACAGCAGCCACTACTACAGCGAACTGGGTTACGTACGCTTTCAAATTCTCCTGCCGTATACGTTGTACATTAGCCGCATGCTTTTCCCCTTCGATCGGGTGATAACCTCGTACAAGGTCGTTAAAAATGAGGAGCGCAGCCGCCATCGCACCGCAATAAAAGGCAGAAAAGAAACCACGAAGAATCCGAGCCGACGAATAACCTGGTGGTGCATTGAAATGCATCGGCCGTTTCACGCTTTCACCGCCAGGCGGCGCGCCACTTGACGCCGCAATATCGCAGCCATATCAAACAGAATACCACCTGGAGGACAAGGCCTGCGCACATTACGTCATCGTTGGTGGATCCCCGACCGTTCCCACAAGCGGCAGATGTGCCGCAACGCGGTAGACGCGTCCGTCTTTGCGTCACGGCGTGCTACTGTCGCATTCGTTGTGAGAACGCTGCAAGACACTACCGTTAAAAAAATTATCGATGAGCTTATATTGAGTTCCTTATGTATTCTATAAGAATACATTAGAAATTCCATTCAAACTGATTGATCATTTTTGTAAAAATAACCGCAATAACTTTGTGTGTGTGTGTGTGTGTGTTTGGGGGAGGGGGGGGGGGGGGGGGACGCTGAGGTTGGTCGCCACCAACCGAAATAATCAA